TTTTATTATTAATTAAGGCTGGTTTACAATATTTTGTTGGAATAGAATTTGGCTTTAATTAAAAATTAATGTTACAGACCTAGTGTAATATTGTAAACCTGCCTTTACTGTTATTAGTACATTTTCCCCATCATTTCTATATACTCCATTCTCAGCTACAGTCCATCAGTAAGCATCTTCCATCAAAGAAGCAAACTCTATTCTTCTCTGCTACCATTCCTCCAAAGATAGAGAGACTAGCTACAGAAACTCTTCACAATCCTCTATTCATTACTGTTGGAACGGTAAGACCATTACACCTTGTCATGTTGTACTGTATAGCAGGAAATTTTGGAGAGAGTTAAATTTGGCGAATTGCTAAATTTTGGTGATCGGCAAATTTTAATTTGGCGAATTTGTGACCATGTGCCATTGAGCATGCGTATAATGGCTCAAAACAGCAGATTTTAATTTTGGCGAATGGCTATCAAAATGCCAAATTTAACTACCTCCAAAATGTCCTTCTATACGGTATCAATTGCTGCTCTTTATAGCCAAACAGTTCTAGTGTTAATGTCAGACACACTGTCCTTTGGGTTGAAGAGGAGGCAAAGAAGAAACATCTTTTTACTTTTCTTAAAGATAAGGACACATTCTGGTAAGAAGAAGTAGAGAATATCACATTTGCTTTTAAATTTGTCTTTATTATGCCGAAGTGTATTTATTAACTATATAAATGTATTCATTATTCCTCTGTTTCTATCCAGTCCCCCAGTCATTATATTTGTTAACTCTCGTAAAGGCACTCTACTCTTAGCTGAGGCCATTGATAAAGTTAGTTCCTTCTTCTTCTTCATGAGTTATTGTCTTGTCTAGGCTTGTGATGTGGCGGCCATTGCCCTGCATGGAGAGATGGAGCAGGAGAGAAGGTCGGCCATTTTGAGTGGATTCCTGGCTGGGAAGTACGAGGCAGTCGTTGCAACCGGAGTACTAGCCAGAGGACTTGACCTTCACAATGTGAAACAGGTTAGAATACAATAGATGGGAGAGGAAATATACCGTATAGTGGGGAATTTTGGAGGGACTAAAATTTGGCGAATTGCTAAATTTTGGTGATTGGCGAATTTTAATTTGGTGAATTTGTGGCCACATGCCATTGAGCATGCGTATAATGGCTCAAAATGGCTGATTTTATTTTGGCGAATGACTATCAAAACACCAAATTCGCTAAATTTAATTCCCTCCAAAATTTCCTGCTATACGGTATAAAGAGAATTGTAATTCTCTTTTGTTAATATGTAGGTATTTATATTTGATGCTCCGTCAACGATTGATGAGTTTATACATCAGGTTAGCCCTTACACACCATCACTTTGTAATAGTGATAT